TAAAGCAGGGATTCTCACAACAATTTTTTTGGTGGCCTCAGAGTGCGGCCACCAACTCTTGCTGGTGGCCATGCTGACAATTTTTCCTAAAATACTTAATTAACTTTAGGAAAAACAAATAAATATGCATATATACATGTCCAAATCATTGTAATTTATTTATGTTGGGTTTTTTCAGACTCAGTAATAAAAATAATGTACAGTGGTCTCTATTCTTTACTGGACCTAAACAGAATAGAAACACAAATAGGGTGCTTTGCATGTTCTTGTCTTTTTGTTGTTGTTTCTTTTGCTTTCTTGGTTGCCCTTGTTTTTTTTTTAATCTTGCTAGATAGTAAGTCTGCTGCTGTGAAAAGAGAGATTTGTATGTTTGTTAATATCACTTTTCACAGCAGACTTACTCAGCCCCAGCAAGCTCTGGGACAAATTAAGCTCTGAATGGGGAGGTGGGCAGGGAGGCCACGGGGCCCAGGGACGATGGCATGGGTGGTGATCCTGGGACCACAGCCTGGAACAAGAGCCTGCTATCACATGGATGGAGCCTGAAGCCCCGTGGCCAAAGCCTGCCCCCCACCCCAGGGAAAGTGGGGAATTCACCAGCTGCCTACACCTCCAGTGTTTCTGTCTCCAAAGCAGGGCAGGGCCCAACCCCCACTGTGGCCCTGGAAGAGGGGTCACTGCTTCCCCCTCACCCCCCCAATCACTGTCCAGGAGGCTATGGCTGCAAGAAAAGCCCCTGGTGGCCACATGTGGCCGCATTTGAGAAACACTGCTCTAAAGACAGAGTTAGTGAATGCAAAGTAGACAGCAATTCAATTTTCACCTCTGTGTCTAATGGTTTTCTAGATCCCTTAGCCTCATCTACCCACCACTGCACTAACATTAGTACAGTTCCACCAGTGAAAGCAATAGCAGGAGTGCTAATGTAAAGTTTATCTAAACCTTTTCTGAGCTGAAGCAGTGGACAGTGGCAGAAATGCCAATGGTTGAACTACACTAGTGCCCCAACCTCCCACTGTTGCATTGACAGTGCAATACTGGGAGAGTTCAGGAAAAATGCCCATGCAGACACAGCCGTGATAGCAAAACTATCTACTAGCTTTACTAAACTATATAGACTACTTCTTCCCTATTTCGCTGCCCCAGCTAACTACTCAGCAGTCCTGACCACTAACTACCCACTTCTCATATTGACTGATCTGCTCTGTCTCCTCTCCAATATGTTGAAAAAGGAAATAACCACTTACTTTGTATTTCCCCATCTCACCTATCTGTAAGTCACTGAATCATTTCCTCTCACTACTGCTTCAAGACTTTCAATCTCTCTTTAGCTTAAGAGTGACTGTGTCAAGCACAGGATATAAAAGTAAGATTTATGTAAGCAAATAGAAGGAAAAATTAAGAAAAAAATATTAAACGATTTAAATTAATGTTTTGGAAGGCAGAGCAGAGATATTGCCTTGAAATGTATGGCAACTTGTAGGGTCAAAATTTGAAAACCCCTTGTATTATACAGAACATCGATGCCTTGTAGAGCAGCATTCCACAGTTACAAGTCGCAATTAAGTTTCCATTATAAGCCTGATTTTGCTGCCCTCCATCACCAACTAAAAAAAGAACAGCAGCATCAAAACTGAGAGCTGGATCAAGGTAGATTTTCTTCTTCAGATATCTCAGGAGTGGGCAAACTTTTTGGCCTGAGGGTCACATCGGGGTTCCGAAAGTTTATGGAGGGCTGGGTGTAGTGTATTAAATTACTCCCTGTAGGAATGTGCTACTTCCAGAGCACCAGGACAACACATTCCTATGGGGAGCAATTTAATACACTACACCCAGGTAGGGAAGGCTGTGTCTCCATAAACAGCCTGGCCCCCACCCCTCCCACTTCCTGCCCCCGACTGCCCCCCTCAGAATCCCTGACCCATCCAACCCCACCCCCTGCTCCTTGTCCCCTGACTGCCCTCTCCCGGGACCCCCCACCCCAACCGCCCCCCCGGGACCCCACTCCCTGTCCAACCCCCCCTTCTCCCTGTCCCGACTGCCCCGATCCCTATTCACACCCCCACCCCGACAGGCCCCTCCAACTGCCCCTGTTCCCTGTCTGCCCCCCGGGACTCCTTGCCCCTTATCCAACCCCCTCTATTCCCCCCCCTTACCATGCCACTCAGAGCACCAGGACTGGCAGCCGTAAGTAGTACACTAAGTAGCACATCGGCCGCTCTTGCAGCCCCACCGCCCAAAGCACTGGCAGCACGGCGAGCTGAGGCTGCGGGGGAGGGGCCAGGGGCTAGCCTCCCGGCCGGGAGCTCAAGAGCCGGATGTGGCCTGCGGGCCATAGTTTGCCCACCTCTGAGATATCTGAAGTGATTAGAACGGGAGAGTTCCAAATCATAATACGTCAGAAATAGAGATGTTTGAATTCCAAAAATGACTTTTTTAAACCAATTTTCAGCATGACAGAAAAAAGGAGTATGATGACTAAGTTCATTGTATTAATCTTGTTGAGATCTAGCACACAGAATAAAAGTTATCTGATCTAAAGTCTAAAGTCAATATTTTAAATAGGAGCTTCAGTGTGGTCTATCAGGCTCTGGTGAGCTACTTTTGCTAGTCAGCACCAGAGACCAGATCAGGAAAAAGGTGGCAGCAGGAGGAGGTGCTCTTCATTCCCTGGGTCTCCTGCACACAGCTTACTTTCCCCCCTCCCCCCCCGCCCCAATCCCCTTAATTCCCCAGTGTTTCTCCCTGGAAGTGACAAAGCAATTCCTATAAATGTCTATCAAGGAACACATACTCTTATGGCACAATTTAAAAAATAAATAATTACAAACAGAAATCTACTGGAAGGCCATATTTCTAGCTTAGGTACCAGAAGCTGAAGGAAATGTTAAAACAAAAAAATTCTGCTGAGGTTCTCATCCACAACATCTCCTCTTCCCTTGATGACCGTCTCCTCTTCATGACCTCCAAGGGTCTTAGCTGGGCAGACCACTGTCACCTACCTTGTTTCCTTGGTACATGTGTAAATACAAAGTCAGCCTACCCTGAATCTTTCCTGTCAGTCAGTTCAAAACCACACTTTACAAAACACCTGAGTTGCTTCAACCTTTCTGTAGCTCTGTCCTATCACCTTTCCATCTACTTTCAAATCTTGAGTGAAAACATTTTTTTCAGTTTTGTCTCTCTCTCTTTACATCTGCTTTTTTAAAATTTTAACTATTTACATTCTCTAAGCATTGTATTGTGGTACATTGACATGCACACACCTATACAGCACCAGATGCATTCAGATGCAAGATCAACATCAAGGAGAGCCAAAGAAAAAACTAACAATACAGTCCAGAGATGATGACAGGCAGAAGTCTAGTCACCTGCCTATTACCCATTACAATAAAAAATAAAACCCCAATACTTTACTCTTCTGGCCAAAAATAAAAAGCCATACACACCATTTCTTACCCTTGGTGTATACAGTTTTGCAAAATGGCACTAATTAGCGAGCTTTCAAATATTTTGAAACAGGACAATTTTGGACCAGTGCTCAAGAAACATGTCTGGTTTTTTTTTTTCAAATGCCTATTTGTACTGGTAACAACTAAGTCCACATCACTGAAACTGTGATTATGTAACATATGTATCGAAGAATATAACCAGACAGCATGTATTCTACATCAGATTTTGAACAAGAACATGTTTTGTTCAGAATTCTAAAAAAAAGTTCAACGGCAGCTCACAGTAGGTTTTTCCAGATTTAACTTTCATTTATTATTACATTTAAGCCATAATGAATTTGTACAAAATCTGACACTATTGACTTACCTACCACCATGCTAATAGTTACGGGGGGAGGGGGGGGAGGAAGAGCCAAGACCACTGTTGTGCTGTCAGAACAATTATGATTTCCACCATGTAAGCATGTTTATATACAATTACTTATCACCTCTAGTATAACATTATTGATTGGCATCATATTTGAAGACCAGCCTGTGAAAGTTTGCAAACAAGACTCTCTCAAGTACTTATGTTTCACTTCCACATATCTATGTTTGAACAGGAGTACATCTCTCAGTTTTACAAGTGTTTCAATGAATCTTTGAGTACCAGAACTATTTTGCTTTGCAATTCTTACTCCCTGGATGTTTATGGACCACAACAAAACATGAGAGAAGTACAACAGAAAATGTTTTCATTAGTGTAATTACTATATAAACATTTTGTTATTATCCATCAATTTCATTGTTTAGAAATATTATTAGAATATTCCTATTGCTTGAAAATTACATTCTTACTTTAGCAGCACTTGACAATAGATGCTTAATAGCTTTGCAAATCCATAACTGATGCCATCGCTATCAAGAAGATACTAGCAAATAGGATTTCCGTTATTCTTGCATATCAGCTACTTGTATTAACTTCAGTCGACTATCTATGCACATAATTACACCGTCCAGCAATATATACCGGTGAGGCACTATCCCAAAGCTTTATGAACATACATAATGACTGACAACACCATTATGTATTATTACAGGGTCTGATAGCCACAGGACAGAGCTGTGCAGCCACATGACAGCGTGCCAAAAGAGAAGAAACCCTCCAGACGCTTGCGCACCCTCACGAGCATCCTTGTTCTCGGGACGGTGTCAAACCTCAGCGGGGACAGGCGCACAAGCCGCGCACAGCTCGGATTCGAGCTGCTTCGGTTTCACTCCGGTTCGCCTCCGAGCCACGTTAAAGCGCAGCCGGGGGGGATGGGGCAGAGCTGGCCCATGCACCCTCCCGGCCGCCCCACAGCTGCGCGGGGATCGCCCGGCTCCATGAGCTCAGCCGGTGGGAGCTAGAAGAGCTCCCGACGCCGACCCGGCTCCCCCGGGGGATGCTACAGGCTGTCCCCGCGCCTCGAGCCCTCTGCCCCGGGGTGCGGAGGCGGCTGCTCCCCGCGCCTCACCCGGCTCCGCACCAGGGGCGCCCCGAAGCCCCGCACCCGGCTCGCCGGTTACCTTGGTGCCGCCTCCGCTCTCCCTGGGGGGCGGCGCGGCGAGGCCGGCGACGGCGCTGCAGAGCCCGCGGAGTCCTGTGGGCCCGGCCGGCCGCCCCCCGAGCCAGCGGCGGAGCGGCGGCAGCACCCGACGCATGGCCCCGGGAGCGCGCGGGCCCGCCAGTCCCTGCCAAAGAACCGCGGCGGCGGCCGGCACAACGAGCTCGGTCCCCTAGCCCCGCCCTCCGCACACGCCACCGCCAAGGGGCGGGGCCTGTCTATCACACCCCCTGCGTTAGCCCGCTCCCACTCGACGCCGCTCGCAGCCCCCCCCCCAGGGGAGGGGGCTCCACCGCGGATCCTGTTAGGAGACGCCCCATCCCCACAGCTGATGGGTAGTGGGAGTTGTGCTACCAGGGGGCCAGTCCCTTCATGCACCTAGCTCAGGTTGGGTCCCCCCCACGTGTGACACACATGGATGTGCAGCCCTGGGGGTTCCAGGGTATTAGCCAGACAAAGTGCGTGGAGCAGCTGAGGAGCTGCCTTCAGGGAAAGGGACTCCCAGCATCACAGCAACATGCAAGCACATATTGTAAGGGACCAGTCAAGGTAGACTAGCCTGCTTCCACCCCTACAGTCATAGGACAAAAAGAAGAGGTTAGGCCCCGACTAAATTTAGGAGAAGCTGCTATGCAACATTTTATCAGCATAGTTAATCCACCTCCAGGAGAGGGAGTAGCTATGACAATGGGAGAAGCTCTCCTGCCAACATAGCACTGTTTACACTGGGGATTAGGTTGCATGTTTCACATCCCTGAGCAACATAGTTACACCAATGTAAGTCTGTACTGTAAACCTGGCCTTAGCTGGTTACAGAATGTTGTAATAAGCCATAAATCCAGTCTCTCTCTTCAGTCCATGATTTTTAGTGTCTATCTTAGGCTTGGTCTACACTAAACCCCCAAATCGAACTAAGGTACGCAACTTCAGCTACGTGAATAACGTAGCTGAAGTTCGAAGTACCTTAGTTCGAACTTACCTCGGTCCACACGCGGCAGGCAGGCTCCCCCGTCGACTCCGCGGTACTCCTCTCGTTGAGCTGGAGTACCGCAGTCGACGGCGAGCACTTCCGGGATCGATTTATCGCGTCCAGACCAGACGCGATAAATCGAACCCGGAAGTTCGATTGCCAGCCGTCGAACTAGCGGCTGGGTATAGACATACCCAGAGTAATGAATTTAAACTCCTAGTGAAATTAAAAAAAAAAATACTTTGTGAGGAAAAACCCAACTCAAAGCAGCACCAGATGCAAAACCTACAGACATCTCCACTGCTACTGTTGATCAACACATCTTTCAAGATCTACATATGCTTATCACAACATGTGGTGTACCAGTGCACTAAGTGCACCGACAACAACTATGTGGGTGTAACAAGACAATCACTAATCACTTGAATGAACTCAGACAGGAAAGTGATAAAAGACAAACACCCCATCACCCGTGGGAGAATGCTTTTCACAAAGTGATCACTATATCTGACCTATCAGTCCTCATCCTGAAAGAAAAGCTATACAACACTGCACCTGGGAGTGAGACACTGGATCAAACAATAAATTTAAACTAAACAATCTGTTCCCTTGCATTTTGCTGTGATGCTATGAGTGCCTTTCCCAGACCTGAAGAAGAGCTCTTTGTGGCTTGAAAGTTTTCTCTCTCATCAACAGAAGTTAGTCCAGTAAAGGATATTACCTCACCCACTTTGTCTCTCTGATACGCAGATATCACACTATCCGTGGCGCACACACACTGCCTGAGGCCATCATCTGAAGGGCCATAGCATTTTGTATGTGAGAGCAAGATGCATGATGCAAACTCATCTCTCATGTGTGTGAGAGCATGACAGGGGTTCTCCCCTTGCAGCTCCTGTACGAATTGGGTGCAGGACAGAACTGTTCGACCTAGGCAACAGAACAAAAACAGACTTCTCAACAGGCACTAATCTCCATGATAAACCACATTCTACATTCGCTTCAGAAAGCTGTGCTAGGCACTGTAGGATAGGTGCAAAAAGGCACAGGCCTTATGAGGCTTCCATGGAGTTCTGCGTGTGGACGCAGTTCATTGTGTGCACCCAAAACAAGTCTGTGGGTGCTATCCACTCTTCCAGCTGCACTGGTGAAAACTGCAACAGTGCAATTCTCAAGTAAAGGTGTACCCTAAGGCCTTGGCTACATTAGCTAACTTCATACCCATACTTGCCACTAGCAGTTGCAAATCTGTGAGCTGTAAAACAAACAGGACACAGGCATTTTTACCACGCTGGTATCTGCTGGTAAATACCATCTATGGAGCTTGCAGCTAAGAGAACATTCAGCCTAAAAGAACTCAGCTGGTGCCAGTCAAGGCTGGTATACAAGCACCTGGGAACTGATCTTCTGATCAGGTAATTTCTGAACAGGGTATCTGCTCCTCAACAGGGGGTTCAAGCAGCAGCCACAATTTGCATTTCACTTTCACATCATAGCTTTGTATACATCTATTTATTCCTTTCACTGCTGCACAGTATGGTGGAGCTTGTTGTACATATTTTTTTTATTTTGCCTTTTCTGCCATTTCCTCTCAGTCTAATTGTTGTTTAATCATTTTGACATTTGTAGGTGCTTTTCCCCCCCTTCACACACCATTATGCTGCCACCTTACTTCACTTTATGACATTTTGTAGATTCTGCCTCTTCAGTTTCATCTTTCCCAACCATTTTATACACTTTTCCTTTATCCATGTTACAGAGGCAAAAGAAAGCAGAGCACAGGTTAAAAAAAGTCTGAAATAACGGTTGTCTACATTTACATGCCATAAACACAGAGTCTACCAGTTAACTCATCCAATAAACAAGCACACAAGTCCAAATCACACAATATTCCAAGAAGTGTTGCCCAATATTCCAGGAAGTATTGCCCAATATTCAGACATGCTGAGCACCAATGACTCCCATTGGCTTTGCTGCATTAGCTATAGGTGCTCCGTACATCTGGAAATACCAGGCCAGAAAAGAGTTCTCAGTTATTTTGACATTTACTGAGTTTTATATAAAACATTTGGCAACCCAGGAACCAGGTCAAGATAACCCAGAAGTCTATCAGAACTTCTAGAGAACTTATTTTTGCTTTATATCTAAAATTAGAACACCTAACAGAATCAGAAATGTATGGCTGGAGAGAGCCTCAAGAAGTCATCAAGTCAATGGCAGGACTACACTATGGCAGGACCAAGTAAACCTAGACCATCCCTGACAGGTATTTGTCCATCTGTTTTTCAAAGCTTCCAGCGATGGGAATTCCACAACTACCCAATGGAGTCTATTCCAGACCTTAACTACCCTTATAGTTAGAAAGGTTTTCCTAATATTTAACCTAGATTTCCCTTGCTGCAGATTAAGCCCCTTATTTCTTGTCCCATCTTCAGTGGCTATGGAGAACATTTGACCACCATCCTCTTTATAGCAGTCCTTAACATAGTTGACAATTGCTATCAGGTCCTTCTTTTCTCAAAACTAAACATGTCCTCCCACCCCCCCCCCCCCTTTTTTTTTTAAACCTTTCCTCAAGGGTCAGATTTTTCTAAATCTTTTTTCCACCCCCCTCCTTTGGACAGTCTCCAATTTGTCCACATTTTTCCTAAACTGTGATGCTCACAACTGGACACAGTAACTCCATCTGAGGCCTCACCCGTGATGAGTAGAAAAGGATAATTTCCTCCTGCATCTCATATAGGACACTCCTGTTAATGCACTCCAAAATGGTATTGGCCTTTTTTTGCAGCTGCATATTGACGACTCATTCAATTTGTAAGAACATAAGAATGGCCGTTCTGGGTCAGACCAAAGGTCCATCCAGCCCAGTATCCTGTCTACCGACAGTGGCCAATGCCAGGTGCCCCAGAGAGAGTGAACCTAACAGGTAATAATCAAGTGATCTCTCTCCTGCCATCCATCTCCACCCTCTGACAAACAGAGGCTGGGGACACCATTCCTTACCCATCCTGCCTACTAGCCATTAATGGACTTAACCTCCATGAATTTATCTAGTTCTCTTTTAAACCCTGTTATAGTCCTAGCCTTCACAACCTCCTCAGGCATGGAGTTCCACAGGTTGACTGTGCACTATGTGAAGAACTTCCTTTTATTTGTTTTAAACCTGCTGCCCATTAATTTCATTTGGTGGCCCCTAGTTCTTATATTATGGGAACAAGTGAATAACTTTTCCTTATTCACTTTCTCCACACCACTCATGATTTTATATGCCTCTATCATATCCCCCCCTAGTCCCCTCTTTTCCAAGCTGAAAAGTCCTAGCCTCTAATCTCTCCTCATATGGGACCCGTTCCAAACCCCTAATCATTTTAGTTGCCCTTCTCTGAACCTTTTCTAATGTCAGTATATCTTTTTTGAGATGAGGAGACCACATCTGTACACAGTATTCAAGTTGTGGGCGTACCATGGATTTATATAAGGGCAATAAGTTATTCTCCGTCTTATTCTCTATCCCTTTTTTAATGATTCCTAACATCCTGTTTGCTTTTTTGACTGCCGCTGCATACTGCGTGGACGTCTTCAGAGAACTATCCACGATGACTCCAAGATCTCTTTCCTGATTAGTTGTAGCTAAATTAGCCCCCATCATATTGTATGTATAGTCGGGGTTATTTTTTCCAATGTGCATTACTTTACATTTATCCACAATAAATTTCATTTGACATTTTGTTGCCCAATCACTTAGTTTTGAGATCTTTTTGAAGTTCTTCACAGTCTGCTTTGGTCTTAACTATCTTAAGCAGTTTAGAATCATCTGCAAACTTTGTCACCTCACTTTTTACCCTTCTCCAGATCATTTATGAATAAGTTGAATAGGATTGGTCCTAGGACTGACCCTTGGGGAACACCACTAGTTACCCCTCTCCATTCTGAAAATTTACCATTTATTCCTACCCTTTGTTCCCTGTCTTTTAACCAGTTCTCAATCCATGAAAGAATCTTCCCTCTTATCCAGGGCCGGCTCCAGGCACCAGCTGAGCAAGCTGGTGCTTGGGGTGGCAGATTGTTGGAGGCGGCATTCTGCCCAATCCTAGGGCGGCATGGCCGCTTTTTTTTTTTGTTCC